CATCAAAATAAAAAGCTTCTGCATGACTAAAGAAAATAGTATTAAAGTAAAAAGAGAACTAATCATATGGAAAAACATATTTGCCAATGATACCTCAGACAAGGGTGTAATCTCCAAAATATATAAAGAACTCACATGACTCCACTCTAAGAAGACAAGCAACCCAATTAAAAAGTGGGCAAAGGACTTGAACAGACACTTCTCCCAGGAGGACATACAGAGGATCCAGAGACACATGAAATGATGCTCAGTATTGCCAGCTATCAGAGAGATGCAAATTAAAACCACAATGAGATACCACTTCACACCAGTCAGAATAGTCATCATAAACAAAGCAACAAACGACAAGTGCTGGAGAGGATGTGGAGAAAAGGGGACCCTAGTGCACTGCTGGTGGGACTGTAGACTGGTGCAGCCACTGTGGAAAGTAGTATGGAATTTCCTCAGAAAACTAGAAATGGAACTACCTTTTGACCCAGCAATTCCACTGTTAGGATTATATCCTAAGAACCCTGAAACACCAATCCAAAAGAACCTATGCACCCCAATGTTCATACCTGCACAATTTACAACAGCCAAGTGCTGGAAGCAACCTCGATGCCCATCAGAAAATGAGTGGATCAAAAAACTATGGGACATTCACACAATGGAATTCTATGCAGCAGAGAGAAAGAAGGAGCTCCTACCCTTTGCAACAGCGTGGATGGAGCTGGAGAGCATGATGCTAAGTGAAATAAGCCACGCGGTGAGAGACAAATACCATACAATCTCACCTTTAACAGGAACCTAAACAACAAAACAAAGAAACAAGCAAAATATAATCAAAGACAATGAAATTGAGAACAGGTTGACAGTGCCCACAGGGGAGAGGGAAGGGAATTTCAGGGGAAGAGGGGAAGAGTTTGCAGGAACAAGTATAAAGGACACATGGACCATAACAAGGGGGGTAGAGACGGGAGGGAGGAGGGGAGGGATGGGGAGGTGGGCTGGGATGGGGGTAAAGGGCAGGAAACTTGAACAACAATTAAAAAGAAAAAAGAAAAAAGAAAACAAAATCCTCAAATGACTCATCATGCCATGTGATTCTTCAAGATGAACAAAATTGTGGTCCAGTCTCAATTTGCCAGGTTAAATTAAAAATAACACCCAGCCCTGGCTGGCATAGCTCAGTGGATTGAGTGCAGGCTGCGAACCGAAGGGTCGTCAGTTCGATTCCTACTCAGGGCACATGCCTGAGTTTCAGGCCAGGTCCCCAGTGGGAGCCACGTGAGAAGGCAACCACACATTGATTTTTCTCCCCCTCTCTTTCTCCCTCCCTTCCCTTCTCTCTAAAAATAAATAAATAAAATCTTTTTTAAAAGTTAACAACAACAAATAACATCCAAGCAGGTCTTTATTTGTTGCTCTCACTCATTCATTACAGAAAATATACAAAACTATACTGTGAGCTCCGTTTTTCCAGGTATGGAGCAAAATTCAGAAAGGTACTCCCAGTGTACCTCATGACATCATCTTTGTCACAACCTGAGGTTTTAAAAACAAGTGTTGGGAGGAACCTTAAAAAGCCATTCAGTATATTTCTTAATATTTAAATTTTTATTCTCTTAAAAGTAAAAAAGATTTCAAATAGAAGACTTCATGATGATTCCTGCCCAAGAAGTTCCCAAATCTTAACTGTTCATGTTGCCCTTTTGCTGTACGATCCTTGTTCCCTTGTGTTCTGTCCTCCTGGAGATGGAGAGCAGCTTGTTATCTCATTTCTCCCTTTGAGCCCTTTAGTAAAAGCCCCAATTAATAACCTAAGGCTATTCAACCATGCCAACAGCTTCTTTTTCCTCTCCAGATGCTTTTTCTCCGAGGTCTTACTTTATAACCTGTGTTTCATTCCTCTATGTCTCTGCTCTCTCTCTGCGGAGTTCCAGAGCCCAGCGTCCCAGCTGGGACTGAGTCAGCAGAAAGTGCCTGTTCTCACCTCCTGGGGCCAGGTTTCTTGTGAGTGGTCGTGATGCAGGAGAGCCCTGGCTCGCTGTCTATCTGCTAGCCAGCCATCGGCACCACCACTCACAACACAGGCTTGTGGGTGACTGCTGCTTTCACGGTGACAGGGCTGTTCCCTTCCCAGGAAGCATTTCCTGGGCCGCCTGATTGACCTTTCCAGTCCTTGCTCATTTTTGCTGCTTATTTCCAACAAATGCTTTAGTCTTGCTCTACTGATTCTTTTCTGCCCCCCAAACGTGTAAAAAACCCCAGTTTTGATCAACAGTTCAATGAGAATTTATTCATTTCCACGATATTGTTCATTAAGAAAAAGATAAAGAAAGAGCATGCAGAGCCCAGGAGAGAGCCCCACCAGCGCTGTGTGTCTGCACCTCCCTGCTGGCCTAGCGGTCACTTCACTGCATCATGCACATGTGTACTCGAAGCCCAGTTCACGCTCAGTTTGCTCCGACACACATCAGCTTGGCTGGAATCAAAGGATCCCTCAGCCTATATACTTCAGGGACATTTGTAATATTTCATTAATTTTCGAAGTAGGGATCCAAGCTTCAGTAAGTTTCCACCTTGGTCAAGACGACCTAAATGTTGCATTATATTAGTCAAATAAAACTCTTCTCTTCGCACACGCTGACCGCCATGCCCTGCTGTAGTGAATCTCCGGAAGGGAAGTTCCACACAGAAAACCAACAGGCTGCAGATGTAAATGGACTTCTTTCCCCTTTTCTAGGAGGTGTTTTAGTGACTTCCAGTCCATTTAAAACCTGGTAATGATTCTTCAGAATGAAGTCCCTGTTGAAGTGCAATCAGCTTCAGAATTTTTGGAGAAGCTCTGGTGGCTGACACACAAACACCGCCAGCGATCGATGACCCACGCTACCCCCCACCCCGCACCGTGAGCCTGCCAGTCATCCCCCAGGAACACACCCCGGCACCCCATCCTGAAGTCCTGCTGCCACTAGTAGGTCTCAGAGAGAGTCCCGCAGGGGCTCTCCCGCTTCAGGATGTGGGCGTTTATTTCACAGCAGAAAAGTCTGGATCAGGGTGTTTCTGTTCTGGTCGTAGAAGCTGCACGTGGTCACGTCTGGTAGAAAGATGCATGCGCACAGCTCATGGGGGTCCTGTCAGTGCCCTGTGGGGACAGGTCTCTCCAGCCCTTCCCTGTGTCTCCTGCCGATGTCTCATAGAGGTCACCCTCAGGGGCTGACCCACGTGGCCATCACAACATGGCAGCGCCACGGTCCTCCACATGGTGTCTGCGTGTTTCTGAGTTTCCTGATCATGAGGGGGTGTGTTCTGAACACAGCTTCCCAATAAAACATGGGTCTTTAGAAGGAAATTAAGGTTAAACGAGGTCCTAAGAGTGGATCCCTAACCCAGATGTCAGGACAGGGTGATCAGATGTGTGGTCTTCCAGGAGGATTGACCTCTCTCTCTCCCCCTCCCGCCCTCTCTCGGTTTGAACAAAAGGCAGAGGCCATGTGAGCGCACAGTCAGACGGCAGCTGCCTGCAAGCTAAGCCAGAGGCTTCAGCGTGAACTCCGCCTCGCCAGCACCTCGGAGCTTCCAGCCTCCAGAGCAGCGAGGAGCAAACACCTGCTGCAGGTCGTCGGGTCTGTGGGGAGTCGTCTCAGCCGCCCAACTGGCTCGGCCCCAGAGAGCTGAAAGCTGGCGCTCACGTGAGTGCCCGCACGAGCCTGTTCACGGCACCACTGGTCACCGCAGCCACCAGGCAGAAACCGCCCAAATGCCTGCCAACAGTGGGAGGGCACACAGATGGATGTGTTTAAACGCACTGGACCGTTATTCAGCCGTACAAAGGAGCGGGGTCCGTGATACATGGGTATGTCTGGAAAACATTATGCCAAGTGACAGACAGACACCAAAGGTGAGCTGTGGTATTATTCCATTTATATGCAGTGTCCACAGGAGAGAAATCCAGAGTTGGAATCAGACTTATACCTGCCAGGAGCTGAAGGGAGAAACCACTTAATGAGCAAAGGGTTTTCCTTTCAAGTGATGGAAATGTGTTTTATTTATTTTTTACAATTTATAGAGAGGGGAAAGGAGGGAAAGATACATTGATATGTGACCGATTCCATCAGTTGCCTTTTGCACAGCCCCTACTGGGGATGTAGCCTGCAACCTGGGCATGTGCCCTGACTGGGAATCAAACTCGTGACATTTCGGTTTGCAGGCTGGTGTTCAACCCACTGAGCCACACCAGCCAGGGCTGGAAAGGGTTTAAAACTAGGGCAATAGTTGCTCAACACTGGAACTATATATATATGGCATTGTACTGGTTACTTTAAAATAGTTAATTTTGTTACATAAATTCCACTTCAGAAGAGTTCAGGGGTGGCGTTCCTTGTGTGGGGCAGGATGAACTTTAAGAAGCAGGTGAATCTGAGCAGAGTCAGGGTGGTGGCCATGGCCGTGGTCATGGCTGACATCCTGCCCAGCACTTGGCTCCCCGTTGCTCTGTGCTGAGGGACGGCTCATGGCCGTCCTGGTCCCGTCCACCCTGCTGAGAGGACTGCCCTGGGCGGGGGGGTGTGAACAAGAACCGCCTCCTCACGCCCTGCCTCTTGGGATCCTGAGGCGAGACGGCTCTGTGAAACCGACACGGACGGTGAATGGTAGGGTGTTTGAGTTAGACCTCGGTGAGGCCGTTGTATGAGAAAGTCCCTGTTATTTCCGGTAACCCTGGGTGGGTTTCTCGTGGCTTTTAAAAGCCCACCTCAACAGGGTAACACATTCTTGAAAAACCCTGGTCAGGTTTAATTTCTAAAATTGAAATTGTAAGCATCATAATTTAAAGTTTGTTCTCCCAAAATTCAGTCTTTCAAAGCCCCCGAATGACAGTGAAATGGTCCCCGGACCAGCACATCGGGAGCTGACCTGGGCGACCCCGGACACCACTTCCCTCCCTCACGCGGTTGAGGTTCTTTTGTGCGTTTGCCCAGTGACATCCAGACGCACAGGACGCACACGTGTGCTCCATGTTCATGTAGTTCAACCTTTACTGTGAGCGGGAACACAGGAAATAAACACACACGACGGAGATGACATACAGAATGATTGGTAAAACCCATGGGAGAGCCGCAGGCTTTGTGGAGACGGGGACGGGGCAGTGGGGCCTGTCCCGGCACTGCGCCCACGGTGGCACTCAGGCTCTGAGGCAGCGCCTAGCACTGAGGTTGGGATTTTCAGTGACACTCTCCTTGCAGGGTCTCTCATCCAAAATGGCACGGCACGCCTCACAGAGCCTGTTCTGACCCTCCATGTTTACCAGCAATGATGTCTGTGCACCAGGTACGGCATACCTGTCACCTGCTCACTGGATCTTGATGGCACGCCTGTGCCTGTGACCCTGGCCCGGCACTGATGTTCTGGTCGTACCTAGAAGGGCTCCTGAAACACCTGTGGCATGAACAGCTCTCTGCTCAAACCCAGTGTTTAAAAAGGTTGGCTTGGAAACTGGAAGTAGAAAAGGATGGAGCCCCCACTTTCTGCAGGGATGGGAACGGGCAGTCAGGGTTAGAAGTCACGCCCTCGGTGGACATGCAACGAACAGGCTGAGGTCAGTTCTGGGAGACGAAACAGCGGCCAAAGTGTCCTTTCATCTCAGACACACACCAAGCATGCTCCTGGAGCCTCTCGCGATTGACCCTGGGGAGAGGGAGCGGTTCCTCAGTCTGCCTCGGGGCCTGGGGCGGACCTCCTCTCCGTGTCAATGGTGCTTGCTGGGGCTGGGCCCCCCCGCCCCGGCCTGAAGTGCAGGAGGGGCTCCCGGTGGAAGGGTTGGTGGCTGGGCAGGCTGGAGGGCTGCCGGAGGGTGGGAGGCGCCTTCTTCTGGGACTCAGGAGGGGGCCGGGCTCTCGGGGCGGCCATGCTGCTCTTGCTCTTGGTCGGGCCGGTCTTCCTCGTCCTCCGGCTCCAAATCAATGTTCTGTGGACAAGGCTGCTGGTGAGGCCTGGCCCTGTACCTGTCCACCTGCAGTGACACCTCCTGGGGCGGGGCACCCCCCCACAGGTGCTGTCTGCCAGAGCTGCTGTATTGGCTCACATCCCACACCCTCCGACGAGGAGCCACTCCTGGGTCCCACCCGACACTGGCCTGACCTACCTCAAGCTCCTGCAAAACCTCATCCATGAAGTCCTGGGAATTCTGCTTGTAAGACACGGCCAATCGAATCGCATCGTTGAAGAGCTGTGGGAGGAGGGGGAAGAAGGAAACCTCCGCTGTGGGTGCCAGGGACCTGGGCTCTGCCTGTCTCGGACCCACTGGCACCATCCTAGGTCCACACAACACTGCACCTCTCAATGCACCTGCTTCCCATCACCCTGCCTCCACACCTGGTCCGTGGGCCCACCAGCCCCTCTGTCAGTAGTTACAGGGACCTTGCCTGTCACAGGCGCAGCCACTGCTCCAGGGCCCCGCCCCCTGCAGTCAGCCTGGCCCTGCCCCGTGCATCCCCACCTGACCGGCTGCCTCTGTCATTACCTTGACGACGTTGGTGCCGTCCGCAGCTGAGACAAAGTACAGGGGCAGGGAGAACTTCTTGGCAAAGCTGAAGCTTTTCTGGGTCATCTTTATGTCGGCTGCAGAGAGGAGGCAGGACACCAGTCATTGAGGGGAAGAGAGGGGCTGGCGGGGTGTTTACTGGGAGGGACGTGACAGCGTGTGACCACGGGTGTGTCAACAAGGGTGTGTCTCGGGCCCCCGGGAACCTCGGGCACCAGAGGCAGGGAGGGCCCCACCGTCGATTTTATTGGCCACCAGGACACAAGGGATCTCCGGCCTGAACTCCCGAAGCTCCGCGTACCAGGTACCCAGGTTCCTGTAGGTGACCTTCCTCTGCACGTCAAACACCTGCAGTGAGCAGAGGAAGACAGCGCAGGGGAGTCGAGGTCCCAGCACGCCGCCCAGGTGCCTCGCCCCACAGAGGCCGGCAGGGGAGCGCAGACTGGGCACTGCTCCGAGGGGCGGCACCTGTGCCCACCCTCCCTGAGGACGCCTCTCAGGACCTCCAGTCCCAAGAGTGGTTTCAAGAGTCTCCATTCCTTTCTTCTTACCTGGTCACCCAATTTTATTTACCTATTTTAACAAGTTGTATCATCTTACTGATCAATAGTTTATTACAAATTGTAAACTTTTTTCCTTAGTCTACTATTTTCATTGCTTAAACTTTTTAAAAGTTCCTTTGTAATCATTTTAAATGTCTCCAGAATTTCCCTTTATTTACTATTATTTACTTTTAAAGTCTAAGCTTTTGTTTAGCCTTCTGTTCAGTTTGTATTTTAAACTTTTTTTTAAAGATTTTATTTATTTTTTAGACAGAGGAGAAGAGGGAGAGAAACATGAAAGAACTGTGTGGCTGCCTCTCACACACCCCCCACTGGGGACCTGGCCCACAACCCAGGCCTGTGCCCTGACTGGGAATCAAACCTGTGACCGTTTGGTCCACGGGCCAGCACTCAGTCCACCGAGCCACACCAGCCAGGGCTGTATTTTAAACTTATTAAAAGTAATTTTTTAAAGTATTCTTGTAACGAAACTTCTGGTATCTGGTCCGCACCAGGCTGCCTCCTGTGATCACCACCCGACAGCCACCCTGTGCCCAAGCCTGGTGTCCGGAGCCCCTCTGCTTGTGGCGAGTGCGGGGACCATCCCTGCGGGGTTTCAAGGGGAGGGTGCAACCCCAGCTCCCTCTGGGGCTATTGGAGTTCCTCCCACGTGGTCATCGGGGACAGGTGTCATGCAGCAGGCTGGGGCAACCCCAGCTTCAGAAGAGGGTCCAAGAGGAGGCCCTGGGGATGTGTCAGAGGGAGGAGGGGGCCACTCCCCGAGGGAGGGGAGTGAGTGCAGAGCACCGAAGGCCAGTCCAGAATGGACCCCGGACGGCTGGGACCTCTCCAGCTCTCCCATCTCTGATGCTGTCACTTCTGGCATGACACTGCCTCACCCTGTCACCCTCTTTGGTTTTGTCTCCTTACACGGACTAGTTAACATTTTGGAAGATATCGAGGGCTTTTGTATTTAAGGGACAGTAAGGCCTGAGAACGGAGCCCGGGAGTTCAGGGGCAGGCCCTAAAGGACACAGGCAGACACGAACCTTCTCCCCTGTCTCGGCTCTTCCCGCGGCTGAGTTGTGTCCTGTTGGGACACTGTTCTCTGGCCGCGGACGCCCGGTGCAAGGCTGTGTTCTGGACAGAAAGTGAAGGCTGGGAGGGAGAGTCCTCTCAGCCCCAGCGTCTGCCCCCAGCGAGAGCACCAGGCGGTGGTCATGGGAGGCCTTGGGAGCCCCCTCAGCACTGCTGGGCCCCTGTCCCCCCAGCAGCCCTCAGGCCAGACTTGCCCTGAGCCTCTGCCCGCGCCCCCGCTGGACTCGTACCATGATGCAGGCGTGGGCCTTGTGGTAGTAGGAGGCGTGCATGCTCTGGAACCGCTCCTGGCCTGCTGTGTCCCAAAAGTCTGCAACGTGAACACAGCTCTGATCGCCTGACGGGAGCTGGAGGGAAGAGACGCTGTGCATCTCCACGCAGGTCTCTGTGCAGAGGCTCGGGGACCCCACAGTGTGCAGGTGTGTGTTGTCAGGACCCGGACAGGCCCCGTGTGCCCCGTGGGCCTGTGCACTGCTGTGTGCATGTGGGCAGCTGAGAGGAGACATGGGCCAGGGGGACAGAGAATGCAGCCCGGAAGCCCATGAGGGAGAAGGCAGGCGCCCCCCGGCTCCATCCCACAAGATGTGGGGCCCTCCAAGGCCAAAACCAGGTCGACGTCCCCGTTGGGTGACCGCAGACGGTGGCCACAGCTGGGTAGGATTTGAGGCCTGGCCAGGGGCAGGCCTGTCACCTTACTGACAGTCGGAACCCTTTGGGGAAGAGGACACTGGGACCACACTGCTCTTTCTGCATACCAGCTAGCTCGGGACCCCAGGCCGGAGCGCAGGAACGAGCCCCGTGCCGCCTGTTCCCCAGGCCTCCAGGCCCTTGGCGTCCTCCCTCCCACCCCCATGCCCCGCCCGAGCATCACAGGAGCTGGCCTTGTCGCTCACCCACAAGCACCGTCCTGCCGTCCACTGTGGCCGTGTGCTTGTACAGGGTCAGGGCGTAGGTGGACAGCTGCTGGGGCCGACTGCCGCCAGGTCAAGGAGTGAGGATGCACAAGGGAGGAAAGGGGGTATGGAATGGGCCCTCTCTCTCCTTTTCTTTTCAGCATCGTTTAGATTTTAAACTGAAAGGATGTTGGGTCAGGGGATCAGCCTCAGGTGTCTCTGGCACCGGCTTCCTGGAAGGCGAGGGGCGGGCGCAGCTGGCAGCATGCCCGGCCACCCAGGTCCGGGGGACCCTGGAGCAGAATGTCACAGACTGGCTGTCGTGAATGCCATCCCGTGCTTGGAAACGGCGACTGGAGCGGGACGGTGCTCCGGGAAGAAAGCCTGCACAGGCCAGCAGCGCACCAGCTCGCCTGGGTGTGAGCCTGCAGGAACACCGGGACTACCCTGCCGGACGCTGCAGGACGCTGCGTGGGCGGCCCGGTGAAGCTGGGACACGTAGGTGGGTGAAGGGGAGACCTGATGGGAGGTGCGGCAGGACACACTCCGACTGCCCAAGGCTCTCAGGGGCTCACCTGGGCAGCTGGGGAAACCGCCCCTTTGCCAGGTAGGCCTCCCTCCAAACCCGCAGCGCGCGACTACTTGTGGGAGGAGGGGAGCTGGCAGCTTGTGTTTTATGAAGCTCATTCCCACAGAGAATTTCTAAGTACTAGGGAGCCTGAGCTTGGTGGTCAGAGAGGCTACATGACCTGCACACAATTCCAGGCGTCTGGCCAGCACGACAGCTACTGCAGCACCCTCCCGGCGCAGAGCAAAGGCAAGGACGAGTGAGCGCCGAACACGCGGCAGCGAGCACATGTGGTGCCACGCAGGTTGGGGAGAAGCCGGCAGGATGGAGCCAGTGCGTTCTCCCATCTGCCCCCCAGTGCCCGGGCCCAGGGGCACAGGGGTCGGCCTCGGGTGGGCTGGCCAGAGGGCGGGGAAGGCGCAGGGCAGCAGCATGTCAGTCCTCGAAGGATACAATCCGTCCAGGAGAAACCTCTCCATGAGTCTGTAAGGAGACCGTGCAGGTGGTCAGGTGCAGCCCCCAGGTCCCCCAGTTCCCCCAGCTGACGTCCCCTGTGCCCCCCAGTTCACTCCACGACCACACAGGATGCCCTTTCCTGACTGCCCCAGGGTCCCCCGCAGCCTGTCACCAGCACCGACCGAAGAAAGAGAGGCCCGTCGTCTCAGCTCTGCTGTGAGTCTGCACCGGAGACCGTTGGAGCCGTGGTGAACTCCACAGGCCTAAGGCAGTTTGTGTGACCAGCCGACCCTGATCCCGCCAGAGTGCGCGAGTCCGCGCCACCGGGCCTTTCCCAGCCCCCGGGCCCGGGGCTCGCCATGCCCGATTCTCACAGCACACAGCTCACTGCTGCGAGCCTGAGTACCAGCGTGCGTGGCTGAGGTCCGCACTGTCCACCTCTGCACACCGTGGGCACCACGGCCACCCCTGCTCTGCACATGGGACACCGAGGCCGGGGGCTGTGCCCTCGGCCTGAAAGCTGATCTCCAGCATTGTGCGGGTCTTCCCGGCCAGGAGTCACCTGAGCACCGTGACCTTAACCAGCACCAAGCTCGCTGTCACCGTGTGCTCGATCACAGCCCTGCAGGCGACACCCACTGAAACAGCAGTCTTTCCCTTACCGACTCTCTCTCAGGTAGAGGGGATGCTCATGAAACCAGGATTTGAATGTTTTGTGTATCATTGCATCCCAGGGCCTAGGTCAAAAACGCATTGGCTCTAACCACCATCCAAACACCACAGAAAAACCGGCAGCCACGCCTCCGTCCCCACGAGTAACGGCTGAATGACAGGCCTAGACTTCCTCACTTCGGAGACTGACGAGGCTCCCAACCACAGCCCCAAGCCGGTGGGTGTCCAACAAGGCCAAGGGGGGAACAGACTCCTGCCTGCTACAGCGTCCGCTGAGACCACAGCAGTCAGGGGTGGTGGGCGTGTGTGGTGTGGCCTCTTGGTGAAATAACATGATGTTCAGAATGTCCAAGTTGCAGCGGAAAACCATTCCTCACACCAAGAACCAGGAAACCCTCCAACAGGATGCAGCGCCCTGGCTGGTGTGGCTCAGTGGACTGAGCACCGGCCTGCAGACCAAAAGGTCACTGGTTTGATTCCCAGTTAGGGCACCTGCCTGGGTTGCAGGCCAGGTCCCCAGCTAGGGGCATGCAAGAGGCAACCAATAGATGTTTCTTTTGTACATCGATATTTCTCTCCTCTTTCTCCCTCCCTTCCCCTCTCTCTAAAAATTAAAAAGCAAAATGACAACCCGCAGGCGCCACCATTGTGAGGAGGATCCAGATGTTAGTCATCTGACAAGGCCACTGATGCAGGTTCATGAAAACGCACCACTGGGCAAGGGCAGATGTGCTGGAGGGAAATGGAAATGTACACTTCTTCAATAGACTATTTTTCTGCACAGAAATAGGAAACATAAGTAAGGACTCAATGAGAGGAAGAATTAATGTCGTTAAAATGTCCACATTGCCCCGAGCAACCCATAGATTCAACAGAATTCCAATGAAAATACCAATGGCAGTTTTCACAGAACTAGGACAAATAATCCTGCAATTTACATGGAACCACAAAACACCCAAATAGCCACAGCAATCTGAGAAAGAATGAAGTTGGAGGTATCACACTACCTAATACCAAACTGTACCACAAGGCCATTGTAATCAAAACAGCCTGGCATCGGCATAAAAACAGACACGCAGACCAATGGGGCAGAAGAGAGAGCCCAGAAATAAACCCTCGCCTGTGTGGCCAATTAACCTATGACAAAGGAGGCAAGAACATACAATGGGGTAAAGACAGTTTCTTCAACAAAGGTGTTGGGAAAGCTGGACAGATACACACACAAAAACGAAAGCAGGCCACTTTCCTACTCCATATACAAAACCAACTAAAAATGGATTAAAAACTTATATGTAAAACTTAAAACCACAAAACTCCAATAAGAAAACATAGGCAACAAACTCTCTGACATTGTTTTTCGTAATTTTTTTTGGATGTCTCCTTGGTCAAGGGGAATAAAGGAAAAAATAAGCAAACGGGACCACATCAGACTAAGCCAGAGCTGCACTGGGTGCTGGGGGCGTGAATTCGTGAAGACGGCCTGACACCAGCAAAACCTAAGCAGGGGTGTCCAAACCGCGGCCTGCATGCAGCACAGGATGACTGTGAATGCAGCCCAACACAAAATCGTAAATTTACTTGAAACATTATGAAATTTTTTTTGTGATTACATGTCATGATGTATTTCCAGTGTTGCCCAGAGACGCCCAAAGATTGGACACCCTGCCCTAGAGAATCATTCACCGCTACTTGAGTCCAAGGACATGTTAGTGAAAGGCGAAGGCGGAATCCTACGTGGTTCTGGAGCCCCTGGGAGGTCAGACCACACGAGACACCTGCCGGGGGCAGGTCCGCCTTTATCCTTTGACGGCAGAAATGGCCACGGGCCCCCGCTGAGTGAGCAACAGCACCGCAGAGCCTCCGGTCCAGTCTCCACCTGGGGGGCTCCACCCCCTGTGCACGTGGCCACCGGCATCAGGTAGGAGACTAAACCAACCTTCACACTGAGTGTGCTCAGTCTTCCTTTTTACCGGCTTTCCTCGGTCTCAGTGAGGCCCTCTAGGAAAAGGCATTTTGGCAACCTGAACTCAGTCTGTCACTGGTTGTGCTGGTCACACCGGTCACACATTCCTCTCGGCTCTCCCACGGCTTCCACCTTCGGTCTCTCAGTTCACGACCACTTACAGGTCTCGGTTCCCTGCCCCGGACAGCTGCGCCAGGGCCCACTCTGGTGCCGTCCGGGGCCCTGCTCTCTCGTCACTTCCCCAGGGCACACCTGGGCTCCCACAGGGACTACACTCAGGGCTCCCCCAAAAGCCGGGCTCCTCTGCCCCCGGAGGGCTTTCCCAGCGGCTCAGACCCACTGTGGGCCTGGTCCTCCTTCCCCAGTCCCCCAACATACTTGGACTTGCCCACAGCGCTGTCCCCCAGGCAGATGATCTTCACACTGTCTTCCGCATCGTATTTCTCCTGGTCCAACTCAAAGGGTTTGGCTGTGTCCCCCGCCATCTGCTCTTGGGTCAGCTCCAGGGAGGGGGCTTTTGTCTGTATGGGCAGGGCAGAGAAGAGCAGATGAGAGGGGCCCAAGGACACACTGGCATCCTTCTCTAGTCCGTACCACCAGGCTGCCACCTGCTGAACTGCGGGCGGAAATCTCACACCCAGCGAGACCCTCTCAGGCAGTCTACTCTGCCGTCTCCTTCCTCCAGCCGCACACAGTGCCACCGTGCCCGCTGCTCTGGGAGAGGCAGTACAAGCCTCATAATGCAAGGCTTCCTTCTCGCTTGTGAAACCGGGACACACAACAGTGTGTCGTATGAACAGTGTGAGATACCTTTCGGCAAAGACACAGAGCTCTGGAAGTCTGAACTGTCCCCACTGAATGGCAATGACAGTCCCCTCACCCCTGGTCAAAGAGCCTACCCGGTCCTCCGGATTCTGCCTCCTGCCTCGCACCCCGACAAGGGCACTCTCACATCCATCCCTGGGGTTTCTCAACCTCCTACTAGTTTAAGTGCTGTCTTTGCTTAAGCCAAAGTGGACATCCACCACGATTGCTTCTCTAGGACCGGACTCGGATGCACAACTGCCGAGCGGCGCTGGGCCTGCGCCGGAGGCACACACCACGCGTGAAACACAGACCCAGGAATCCCGCACGCCCCGCCCCTCCCTTGCGCGCGGACACCTGGGCAACAGCCCGTCTCCTCACGCCACGGTCTCTCTGCAAACGTTGCGGCGCCCGGGACGCCTCCGACGCGGAGCTGGCTGCGCCGGCACCACGCGCGCGAGGTCGGGGACCTGAGACCCAGCTGCCGCAGTATCCCTGCGGCTGTGACCGCTACCGGGGCGCGCACCGGCCGTGACTCCGCGACGGCGCTCTGCTGGACTCCCGCCCGTACTCCGGCAGAGGCTCCGCCTGGGTAACTCAGGGCGCCCCTGACCTCGCCTCCCGCAGCCCCCCACCAGCCAAACACAGCGCGAGGCTCGAAGCTCTGCAGTGGTTGCGTGCTGCTTTCCGACCCACTCAACTCTCACTCAACAGACCCTTGGGGGCGGTGACCAAGTCTTGGGACCACCGCCCGGTCCGCCGCGCGCCGCCCTCCGTCCCGCCACCGCAGGGGCTGCGTCCACTCCGGCAGAGCTGCGCACCGCGGACGCCTCGGGCCTCCCCCCACCACCACCCGGGCCCGCACCTGCTGGGACACGCCCCAATCGGCCCGCCCCGAGGGGCTCGAGCAGTGCCGCACTCCGCTTCCAACCCAGCCGCGTCGCCGCAGCTGCTACGCAACCGTGGAAGGACCCCGACGCGGACTGCCCGGGCGAAGGCCTGAAGGACCCCGCGAGGCGTGGCTGGCTAGAGCGGTGCCGGCGAGAGGACAGTGGGGAGGACGCCGGGGCCGGCCGGCCTGGGCTCCAACCAGCGGGAAGCGGGCGGTGGGGGTGGCGGGCCGGGACTGAGTCAGGGCTCTGCGCCGCAGGCCTCGTGGGGTGGCGGGGCAACGGACTTCAGAGGAGGGGGGCGGGACCCGAGGTGAGGGGGCACAAGACTGGCGATTTCTAAAGTTTGCAGTTCTCTGATGAAGTGAATTCGAGCTAATCTCTCCACCTGTCAACGTCTGTGGTTACCAAGAATCGATCGAGACGGTCGCGCCCCAGCCAGAATCAGCAGGGGGCCCAGCGCTCCCTCTGGCCCAGGTGCGCGGAGCGCGTGGGTGCCAGGCCAGCCGCCCTCCCTGGGCCGAGGCTCCAGCCGAGAGCAGGGCAGAGCTGCCCCGCCGCAGTTGAGCGCCCAGAGGGGCAGACAGTTGCAAATCAAATCCTGCACTAAATCCGTTCCGGAGGGGGGAAACAGTATTTGAAGAGATAATGCAATTTCCACTAAAAAGACATGCAAACTCTACGATCCCAAGCAGAAAAAGGACAGCACTTTTACACAAGCCATAATAGAGTGTTCAACTCCAAAACAAATGAGAAGATGTTAAAAACAGTGAAAGATAAAGATAACGATTAAACGAGCCAAAGGAACACGGGCAGCTGCCTCGCTGGTGCAAACAGCGGAAGACGGACACCAGGGGGCGCCGTCTCTGAGGCGCTGAGACCCTGTGAACAGGACTCCGCGGGGCGGCGCCCGGAGCCTGGGGTGCGGAGGCTCTGCTAGGACAGCCGTCCGTAGTTCTGGGTGCAGCTGGTCCGTGTGGCTGTGACAAGTCGGACAAAGGCAGGTGAGAGCTGGGATCAAGTTCTGCAGTGACAGCTAAGTTGGGGTGACTGTCAGGGTTGGTTCAGGACTGGGTTTAGGGTTGGGGCTGTGAATTAGCAGTTACATGAAGACACGACGTGTGGGGCTGGGCTTCAAGGCTAGAGGTTGGATGTACAGGTTACAGGTTCCGATTTCGAGGTCAGAGTCTGGTATTTGGGGTTGGGGTCATGGAACAGGTGAATGTGAAGGCTGTGGGTTAGGTTTAGGGTTACGGAGTCTGGCTAGGGGTGAGGGTGGGGGTGAGAGGTAGGGGTTTGGGTTCAGGGGTTAGGGTAAGGATCAAGGTAAGGGTCAAGATCTAGTTCAAGGGTCAGGGCTATGGGTTATGGTCAGAACCAGAGGTTTAGAGTCAGGATCAGGTCTTAAGGGTTAGGGGTTAGAGTTAGGGGTTTTAGGCTGTGTGAGGAAAGGTGAGGAGAAGTAGGACAGATGCATGAGGAGGGGGAGAAGCCTGCCACAGCAGCCACTGAGGGGCTGATGTGGATGGTGGGGTCCGAGCAGTGCACCCGAACCCGGTGACCACATGCTGAGATGTGAGTGTCTCTGCGAGGCCCCTGCCTTATGCCGGTGCCACCACGTTTGGCATCAGTGGGTGTGGTTGCTCCCAGAAGAACTTCAGTCCCAGTAATGTCTCGTACACAAGACCCACAGCATCAGCACAAAGTGCCCTTGCTCTGTCACTCGGTCCCACTGTCCCGAGGTGGCATACAGGTCCCCAACACGAATGCTCAGGAGGGTGCACCCTGGTTGGGCACTTCCACAGAGGCCCACGTAGGCTCCAGTGAGGACGGCAGGGTGGCCTCAGTGTCACCACCCAGCCCCAGGCTCACCTCACCTTCCACACCTGCCCCTGGGGTAGGAAATACCGTGCTTTACTCTGACCCAGCTTTCCTGGAACGGTCCCTGAGACTGCTCCCCATCCTCACCCCTTGATGGATATGAAGGGCACAGATGGCTCTGGCCCAGGCCCGGGCCCGACTACTGTCTCCTCCTGTGCAGACTGGGCCCTGCGTTCCTGCAGGGACAGCTGGCCTGATGCTGCGACTGCCCAGGGCCACCCACACAGAGGATCCCCTGCATTCGCAATGTGCAACCACCTGTTTGCAGAACCTTCTTTTCACCCCCACAGGGAGCCCCTACCACTCAGCTGTCACTGCCCTTTCCCTCCCCTGAGCCCCAGGCAACAGCCAATGCACTTTGCATCTGTGTGGACCTGACCCTTCCGGTCATTTTATGTAAATGGAATTGCACACCGTGTGTCCCTCTGGGACTGGCTTCTCTCGCTGAGCATCGCGTCTTCAGGGCCCAGCCTCCTTGTAGCCTGTGTCAGAGCTGCGCTCCTTGTTATGGCAGAGGAATGTTCAGTATGTGGCTGCACCCCTCCTGCCTGTCTGTCATCATCCGTCAACCAACACTCGAGTTGAGCTCACCTTTGGGTTTGAACTCACCTTCCCATTTGAAGTTACCGTGCAGCTGTGAGCATGAGTGTGCAGGTCTCTGTTCAAGTCCCTGTTCTCAGTTTCGTGAGGCGTGCACCCAGAAGTGCAAGTGAATGGTAACTTCATAGTTTCTGGTGAACCACCATGTTTTCTGCAGCAGCTGCACCACTTTGCATTTGTGACTTCCTTTTTACGACGGAATAGTATGGTATTCTATGGAGAGGCTATGTTTCGTTTATCTATGCCTTTGAGGGTGGACATTGGGGTGGTGTCCACCTTTCTGCTACGTGAATAATGCATTACAAACATGAACAAATTTTGTGTGGGAAACCTGTTTTAAATTTTGAGAAGTAGTTAACTAGGAATGGAATTGAGTTAAAAGGTAACTATTTTTAACTTCTTGAAGACACATTAAACTGTTTACATTCCTACAGCACAAGAGTGTTTTAATCTCTGCACATACTAGTCAAAACTTATCTTCAATTTCTTAATTATATTCATCCTATTGTATGTGGAAACGGATATCTCATTGTGGCTTTAATGTTCATATTAATAATGATTATTTTTTTCATTTTTTTACTTGTTGTTCAAACACAGTTTTCTTTCTTTTACTCCTATCCCAGCCCACCCCCCCAGTGCTCCCCACCTCCCTCCCATTTCCACCCCCCCCCTTAGTTTTTGTCCGTGAGTTCTTTAAACTTGTTCCTGTATAACAATGATTATTTCCTTGGCTGGTGTGGCTCACTGCATTGAGCACTGGCCTGCAAACCAAAGGCTGGCATGTTCGATTCCCAGTCAGGGCACAGGCCTGGGTTGTGGGCCAGGTCCCCAGTGGGGGCGCGTGAGAGGCAACCCCTCACTGATGTTTATCTCCTTCTCTATCTACCTCCCTTCCCCTTTCTCTAAAAATAAAATCTTTAAGAAAAAGAAAAAAGAGAGAGAGAAGGAAATAATAGTGGATATTTATTATTATTATTAAAACCCAAGAAAGACACTTTCCTTTAAAAAAGCATAAAAGGAATTAATAGTGGGTATTTATTATTGAAATCCACATAGTTTATGTAGACACTCTTCTTCACAAGACTGGCACTGGGAGGACAGAAAGGTCATTGTTCCAGGTGATGGGGTTGGGTGTCCCCCTTTGGTGAACCCACTTCAGCAGGAACAGGGTGGGTCATGCTTAGGTTTCCCTCATGCAGGAGAGGGTACAACGGGGTCCTCACTAATTGTTTGCCATCTCTGTATTGAATTCAGCTCTGGTTCTAAGAAAAGTGCCACCTCTGGAATCTGTTAGCACCCTTCCTAATGCTTATACAGATGTAGATGTTTACCATGTTCTCACCCTGAGTCTCGCTGGACTCCCACCCATTGGGATCATGGGAATTTTGTGCTCTTGGGCCATTGTGGACAATATCTGGGAATGGGTGGCCAGGAATGACCAACATTGTTCATGTCCATTATCCCATTACACTTCACAAAAAAAAGTTTAAAGATACAATAAGTAATAATTTTGGGACGGTGTCATTGATGTATGAAGCCCTGTGGGTCCCAGGCACAAGGAAAGTGCATTACAGAAGCTCCTGTGTTGTGCGCTTCATGAATGCCATATGCAGACTGGGTGCTCCTGTAACAGGAGAAATTCAATTCTTGCCAATGCAGTGAAGGATTACAGATCAGCAAGTGTATTAGCGTGCAAGCAGGGTTTATTAGTGATATGTTCTCATGGAAGAGGACAGGTCTTGCTGAGGTGGGAGTGAAAGGCAAGAGCACCAGCTCCTTTGCCCTGAGGACTTATGTACCGGTAGTTGTTGGGATAGGGGAGAAGTTACATATTGATTGGTGGGTAAAAGTGGTGTCAGCTTCCACGGGGACTGTGACTGACTACCCAAACGCAGGTATGTGTGGGAGATTTTAGCCTGAATCCTTATCTCGCTTCAGACCCCATTTGGTCATCTTGTAAAATAGATCTGTGACAGGAGAGTTCAATTGAGGCAGTTACCCAAAGTTACCAGTAGGGTCTCTCTGTAAGCACTAGGGATCCTCTCATTAAACAGATAGTGAACAGAGGAAAGCTATTACCCGAATTTGTTTTATGGGTCCTTTCCTTGAGTGCTGTGGACCTCCTCCCATCTTCTAGGCCTTGGGATGAATAGTTTCAAAGCCTTTCTTTCCAAGATGGTGGAAATGATACCTAAAATTTGAACATGTTAGCATAGTATTTTTTGTGATGCTGGATCATCTGGCAATAGAATGGAACCAGGCTCAGGACTGCTGGGTTAGTGGGTGACACACATCTTCCTCATCCTCCCTGCTTTGGCTTACCATCTACACTAACACACCAGTGCAGTTAGACAGTGCTCCCAGTGTCAGTTCTCAGCAAGGGGCGGGCTAGGGTCTTGTTTCACAGGTCACCCCCAGTAGCACCTGCCTGTGTTGAGGAAGCTCTGAGGGTGTGCAGATCAGGGAGGGTGGTGACCT